AGAGAGAGAGAGAGAGAGAGAGAGAGAGAGAGAGAGAGAGAGAGAAAGAACCTTTCTGAGAGAGGGGCAGGAGAGGGGCCCCAAGCAGGTTGTTCCCTGTTCCCAGAATTATATTTTTAAATAAGGGCAAAACCTGCCCTAAGACTCAGCCAGAAGCACCCCAGAACTGGTACAGATAGTCTTCTACCCCCAGACCCTCCCCCCGCCCCCTGCACACCTCTAGAATTCTGTTTGCAAATGATTCAGACCTAAAAACAAGTATGGGACCAAGCACCTCAGCTGTGACAGGTCTCCCTCCTGCCCTGTCATTGCTCCATTACTGCCAGTCTTCCTGGTAGCTCATGAGGCCTGAAGAGTTTACTCTGCAAAGCGCATTCTCCCCTCCTGCACACTGGGGTGCTGTCACCCTGTATGTAGGAGGCCTAGACTGAGCTCACACTAGCACCACCTTGTAGACACTTTTAAAATGCATATTCTCAGCCATGTATGGTGGCCTTGCCTATAATCCCAGCACTCAGGAGGCTTAGGCTGGAGGATTGCTGGGAGTTCAGGGTCAGCCTGGGCTAAATAGTAAGTTCAGGACCATCCTGAACTACATAGCGAGACACTGTCTTAAAAAAATGCATGTTCTCAGGTTGTGTATTTATTGAATCGTATCTTTGGAGTCAGAGACTAAGTCATTGCCATCTGTAAAGCTGCTTCAAAGAAGTCCTTGGCTTGGTGCTGTGATCAGGAATGTACCTCCAGCCCTAAGGGTAGCGCCATGTGGTCATGTGGAGCTGTGCTAGCCATGGTAGACATGAGGCATTGTGGGGTACAGGTTCTGGACTTCGGGGTGGCTGGAGGGCTGAGACCTTGCGCCTGTCTTTTAGGCCCACCACAGTTTGCTTCTTACAGCCATGTCAAAATCTGCAGTGAAGATTTCCCTGGACCTACTGTCCAATCCCCTCTGTGAGCAGGACCAGGACTTTCTGAACATGGTGACAGCCTTGGACACAGCTATGAAGCGGATGGATGCCTTCAATCAGGAAAAGGTGATCAGGTCTTTGCCTGTGGCAGCCAGGCACCGCCTCTGTCCCTCTGGGCCTCTTTTGTCACCACTCCCCCCGCCCCCTGCCCACTACCCAACCACCCTAGCCTGGGCTTTGGGCTCCTCTCATGGCTCCTGTGAGGCTGGACTGTTCAGAAAGCTGCCCTGCACCCCCAGCCTCCAAGGTGCAGAGGACAAGGCAACCTGACCCTAGGCCTCTGTGCACCCTACCTGTGCCACCCCAGTCTTGGGTCTCTAGTAGGTCTGTCCTCTGGGAAGCCCAAGCCTCTCCTTTTAGGAAGAAACTGGCTCCCCATTTTGATGTCACTGTTTTTTGTTTGTTTTTTTCTTTTGATAGGTGAACCAGATCCAGAAGACGGTGATTGATCCCTTGAAAAAGTAAGGTCACCTGGGGACATAGGCCGCAGGGCACTGATGGGAAAGGCAACTGAGCCTTAGGGACGCAGGAGCCTACTTAGCAGCCTGTCCCCTAGTCCCATGGGGTCTCTAGCTGCACACTCTGTGGCCCCAGGGCAAGATTCTTGTTGCCTGAGAGCATGGCTGCTGCCCATTCTCAAGGCCTTGCACACCCTCCCACAGAGCCAGATGCTGCGCTGGTGGCCGCTGCATGGGTCCCAGCCCGGCTGAGTTTAGCTAGCAGAGTCCTCAGCAGACGGACGTGGGCAAGGCCTTTCATCTCAGCCGGCCTGGGAGCACAGCTGCCTGCAGTGCTCAGCTTTGGAAGTGTGGGGGTGGGAAGGGCGCAGCAACAGCAGCATCCTGCCTGGGAGGGTCCCCTCACTCATGACCCATGAGTGCCAGGAATTCTTCTGTAAGGCTCATCTTCGGAGCAGCAGGCCCTGGTTAGCAGTCAGACTGGCCTCTTCCCCAAGTCCCCAGGGTGGGGAAGCTGAGGCCTTGAAGCTCCTGAATCCTTCCTCCAGCCTTTCCCCTGGGTGCTGACCTCAGGAGGCTCCCGCTGCAGCCTGGCAGCTGCACTTTATTACCTCTTCTGTGGTGGTCCCTGGCAGTTGCCTTGCCAGGCCCTGGGGAATGAGGCTCTGCTTAATTACCATTAGGCCCGGATCAGGGCCTGGAGGAAGATGAAAAGAGCAGTTTTTGATCCTCCAGCCCTCAGTGTTGGGGAATGTTGAGCTGTTCCTTCCCTGTTCGGCTCCAAAAGGAGGTTTGGGGAGAAGCCCTCCTGACCTCCAGAGTGCTCCTTCCCAAGCCAGGCCTGCAGTGCGAAGCTGGGAGGCCACGCCTGGTGCAGGAAGACATCTCTCCTGCCACCTCCTCCCTGCCACTCCTCCCTCCCTGAGTGGGCTCCCCCAGCCCCTGGGCCCCAGTCACAGCCCAGCTCTGTGTCACCGGGCCACATGGGGAGCTTGGTATAGAATGAACTTCCTGCTGCTGGCCTCCAGGACCGAGGCTCAGAGCTGGGTAGAAGCAAAGAAGCACAGACAGAGCAGGCCCTGCCCACAGAGCAGCCTGTGTGCTGGGGCCTTGGGTCCCCAAGGCAGCACCCAGGGCTGGCAGGGACACTAGGACACCAACTCAGAAAACTGGGGGGTTGGCTGCTGTCTTGATTTCACAACCGGCGAGGAGGCCTTGAAATCAGATCCCTGGCTTCTGCAGGCACATGGAGAGAAACCCCGGCTGCTTCCCACCAGCTTACAGCCCACCACCTGCCAGGAAGGTGGAGGCGTGGCAGAGGGGGCGGCTGCCATCTCCGCAGCGGATCTGCTGACCCCTGCATGAGCCCTTGACCACCCTGGCTGGCTCCTGCCGCATCCCGCAGCCAACATCAATCTCCCCTGACCACATAAACCGCCACTGCCTGCTACCTCCCTACTCTGTGCCCTGTGCCAGGAGAGGCGCTCCCAGGGACCCCAGCACCGGAAACAGGAAACTGCAGCTTTCCTGTCCTCTGATGAAGATCGTGGCCACATGGTCACCCTGCCACCCCCAGCCTTCCCCCCAGGGGGCTTGGACTCTAATCCCCCAGCCCCTGGGTCCGTTCACACACTGCGGATGGATGGACAGGGATGCTTTCAATTTCCCTTTCCTGGTGGGTGGAAGATCCCGGCTGCGGGGGCTCAGATGAGGAATGGCAGGCATTCCCCACCAGGCCGGCTGCTTCCAGCCCACCTCCCAGCCGGCCTCATTCCCTCCCTGCTCCCTCCACCCCACGCTTTGCCGCCCCAGGGAAGCCAGGCTGATGCTGAACCAGAGTAGAGCGAGAAGCAAGCACCCTCTGGTGAGGGCATGGGGTGGGGCCTGCCTGCCCTATCTCAAGAGCTGAGGTGGGTCCTTAGGACCCTTAGGTGGGCCCTATGCAGTGCCAGGAACAGGAAGGCTGTCCCAGCCCACCACCACCTCCCCCATCTGTTTCTTTTCTGAAAGGGCAGAGCAGCAGGTCTGGGTGGGCCAGGGAGGCAGCAGGAGATGCGATCTGAGTGAGCGGAGAGCTGGACCAGGGCTGACTGCAGAGCAGGTCTGGCTTCTATGGGGCAGATCAGTTTAGGTGCAGGTGTCATGCCTGGGGGACAGCTGGGGCCCCAGGGCGCCCTCTGCAGCTGGAAGCATCCGCTCTGGTGTTGGTGAGGTCCTGCTGTGAGACCCTGCCTAGTAGGTGCCACCATCCACACTGCCTACCACATGGACTGCCAAGATGTGACGTTGGCAGGGAAGGAGAAAATGGGAAGATGGGGTCCTGTCCTGTCGGCAGAGGGTAGGAGCAGCCCTAGTGTCCTGGTCCCCTCTTTCCTCAGTTACCTTAGGGTAGGCTACATGCGCCCCTGACTCACAGTGGCCTTTGGATATAGACAGGTGGGATACTTGGCTCTCTCTGCCCCGCAGAATCACAGCCCCTGGCCCTAAGCTACCCAGGGCTCATTTGTCAGCAAGTCGCCTGCGCTGGCCTGAGCAAGCCTCTGACACTGCTACTGGGGACAGGAGTCTCCCACTGCGCGTCAGGTGCCACTGCATCCACTTCTGCAGAAAACACGTGGCCTTGGTTCCAGAGGCTGTGGAGGGGGATACCCCTGCTGTTAGGTCTACCTGTGGGTACAGCTTGATGCCACTTGTCCCTGAGGCTACCCCTGTCACAGTCTCAGATCCACACTTTCCCTGCTGTCAATACTTGTGCTTTGAAGACTGACTGGGTCCCTCCATATAGTCCTGCCGGAGCTGAGGACAGGTGGAGATGGCACTGTGGGAAAGGGAGCCAGGCGGTGACCCCTGGGTACCTGTGCCACTGAGACCTTAGGGCTGCCTGGCCTCCAGTGTGACATTCAGCCCTCCCTGTGCTTGGACTGCACCTCACACACTACACTGCCTTAGCCCCGTGAGATCCTTGTCCCAAGAGGTGACCCCAAGCAGTGACACTAGCCAATGCAAGAAAACGCCTCCTGCCCCAGCCCAACTCACTTGTTCCCTGTCCCCTTCCTGCAGCTCCAGGCCTCAGGCACTGGGGCCACCCAAGCAGCAGGTCACTTCTGACAAGAGGACTGGACAGCTGCTGGACACCTCTTGTCCCTTCAGGGTGGAGGGAAGGGCAGCATGGTGTAGCATGGTGTCTTCTCAGGCCCAAGTGCACCTGCTGCCTTGACCCAGACGCTGCCCAGCTGCCCAGGAAGGGACAGCGGCAACCTGGCAGCTGAAACTGCACCAACAACTGCTGGGTTTCGCCCCTGCAGACTCGCTTGCAAGACACCATGTGCTGCTGCTTGGGTCGCCCCATTCACATGGCGGCCAGTGGACCTACAGCTGCCTGGCAGATCAGTCATGTACAGACAGGAGTGTGGCTGAGGGTCAGCGTTCTAGCACTCTGTCCCTCAGCATGTTCAGTAAGGTGAGGGGTCCATGGGGATACCATGAGCGGCTTTTGAGGATAAACTCTGTCCATTATCTGTCCCTTTGGTCTAACTTAGTGCAGGGCATTTAGTACTTGACCAAGTTTATATTTCCTGTTCTCTGCCAAATGAACTCAGTGCTCTTACCCATGTATTCTCTGGGTTTGTTGAGGCAATTTTTGGTTTTGGTTTGAGACAAGATCTCACTGTGAGAGGGTGGCCTTGAATTCACTAGAGCAGGTGAGCTCCAACCTCCTGCCATAGCCTCCTGAGCACTGGGATTGCAGGTGTACACCGCTGTGCCTGGCTTGTTTATGCCTTTACATACCAAATTCACAAGCGTACTCCTTGCAAAGCATTCTGAGAAATTGTGCTTCCTAAAGTGTTGGGTCTACCAGAAGATGACCCCCAGCTCCCAGATACCCTCTGGGCTCCAGGGGCATGTGACTCCTCGGGGGCCCACAGAGAGGAGCCCCATCCCTGGGCCTGTCCCTGCTCTCATCCTTCACCTTATCTGGGTTCCTCCAAAAGGATCCAGCTCTTGTGGTCCAGGGTCGCCAACTGTGCCTCTCTACCTCAAGTAACCAGGGTCATCGAATTCCTATGTCCACAGCCTCACGGGGCTCCCAACTGGCACAGTGGGACTGTCTGCCATACATCGGTCCTTCACATTGCAGGACGCAGCTTCACTTCTGAAGCCCAGTGCAGCACTATCCTGTGGTCCTGCCTTCACATCACTGAGGGAGCACAGCCCTGCCCCGGACCTGTCCCCGGGGGACCCATGCTAATGCTCTCTAGGGATGGCCCACTCCTGACCAGTTCCCATGGTGATCCTGTTCAGTCATGGAGAATGGGGAGGTCTTCCTGGGGTCATCTTCCCGAAACATCTGCTTTGTCTGTTTGCCTTCAGTAGCGATGGCACTTCTGTTTTTCCCATGGTGCAAAGGAATCCTTGGAGCAAGAGGTGCCCTTGGCCAGAAGTAGCTTCCAGTTCTGTTCTGTCACCATGAGGTAGTGGCAGCCATAACAGAAAACTTAGACACTGAGTTTTCTGGAGTGCCTCTGCCTGATTATGACCCTTGGCAAGTCACATGTCATCTCCCCGGCCTGGAGCTCTCCTGAAGTGTAAGGTCCCTGTGGCTGGCAGGCTAGCAGCAGCAGGAAAAGGACGTCATGCATTCTCTACCGCACATTTGCTCAGGCTGTGTGCTTCTTTGACGTTCTGTCAGCCTGGCTCCAGTGAGCCCGGGACCTGGAGCAAGGTCCAGTGCTTAGTAGGTTTGCTACAGTACTTTCAAATGAATAGTGGGTCTGCGTCCAATCAGACTGTGCCCTGCAGGTTTGGCAGTGTGTTCCCCAGCCTCAATATGGCAGTGAAGCGGAGGGAGCAGGCGTTGCAGGACTACCGGAGGCTGCAGGCCAAGGTGGAGAAGTATGAAGAGAAGGAGAAGACGGGCCCTGTGCTGGCCAAGCTCCACCAGGTGCTAGGGGGAGGGAGCTGGCAGTTGGCTGGTGGAAGGAGGGGTGGGGTGGAAAGAAGGGCCATACAGCAAGTTCAGTCCTTCACCTGGGGACCAGCAGGGCTCAGAACACCAGCTGTCCCACTTCCGCTTGTACACCTGTGTCCTGATACTTGGCTTTCATCCTCAGGCCCGAGAAGAGCTGCGACCCGTGCGGGAGGACTTTGAGGCCAAGAACAAGCAGCTCTTGGATGAAATGCCACGGTTCTACGGCAGCCGCCTTGACTACTTCCAGCCCAGCTTTGAGTCCCTGATCCGGGCGCAGGTGAGGCTGCCAGCCTGTCTTCAGCCTGGGGACTGTGGGTAATCAGGCAGGGCTAGGATCTTGGCTCCGGGCCGCAGGGCTAGAATTTCTGTCTGGCTTCCTCTGTTGCTCTTGGGTCAATCCCAGCCCTAGAATGGATCAGGCTCCCTTTTCTAACTGCTCTTCCCTTGAGTGCTTCCTCTGAATTTTACTGTCAGCAACAAGAATGAAGTGACTACCTTCAGCTGTCACTTTGGCTGAGCAGGTTCTTTGCCCTGGTCCAGGAGAACCAGGGATCCAGAGCTTCTAGGAGGAGGCCTTTTTCTGAGGACTCAGCATTAGGAAGCCACAGGGCTCTTGGAGCATTTCACACAGGGACTGGGGGGCTGGGCTACTCAGCTGCTGCCTAGGGCGCTGGGCACACCATGCCGCCAGTGAAGCTTGCAGTGGCACAGGGCACTGCCCAGCTGCACATTTAGACCAGGAAGCCGGGGAGGGGGGGCACAGGCCAGAGCCTGGCGTCTCCTGCTCCTGGGGTGCAAGGATAGAGTGGGTGATGCACGGTTTTCCCCCACCTGCACAGTTGTCACCAGGCCTTCCTGGAGTGATTCTCCTGCAGGCAGCATAGGTCAGGTTCCAGAGCCAGGAGCTGGGCATCACGCAGGCTGCGCTAACCACAGATGCCAACCTTGGTCTCCTGACCCGAACACCCTGTCCTCCTCTGACCCCGGTCACCAAGCTGGAGGTTTCAGGCCCCCACCTACTGCCTGCCCTCTTGTTTTTTTGCCTGGGTGTCTGGCGCCCTCCAGTGGGCATCAGCATTGGTTGTCTATCTTACAGCCACCTGAGCCACTAGAAGCCCAAGTCCCACCCACCACCTAGCCTGTGGCTTTGGGGGACACCCCCAGTCCTGGGTGGAAGCTTGCATCTGAGCAGGACTTAGGCCAAATCCGGAACTCATTAGGCCAACCCAAATTTCCAGTCCAGTGTTGTTTGCAGAGGGTAGCAAGTCAGAGCCACCAGCAGGAGGGGGCTTCTTTCCTCACTTGCCCTGAGTTGAAGGTGACCCTTCAGCAGCCACACCCTCTGTGACAGGAGGGGCTTCAGAGGGACACCCCTGCCTTCCCTCTGCTTTGCATCACCACCCCTATGTGGCCTTGCACTACCCTGTGCCCGCCATCTCTCCTGCAGCCCCCAGGAGGAGGCTTCTGGAGGCCCAGGCTGTGGTGTGTTGCAGCCTTGGGAGGCTTGGGACACCCAGTAACCAAGCCGCAGGGTAACCAGGGCTGTTCACTGCTTCCTTCTTACCCAGCTGTGCTGCTGTTAGTCACTGGGAAGTGAGCATTCCTAGTGATTCACCAAGCAGCGAGGCCTGGTCTGCCCCCACACCTGTCCACGGCGTTCACCCAGGTTCCTGGTTCCTGAGGTGATAGACGTTAACTGGTACTGCCCTGACCCAGCTGCCCTCAGCCCCCTGGAACTAACTGCAGTGTCTGAAGTCAGGCACCTGTCCAGGACCATCTCCACTCTTCTGAGGGGAAGAGAAGGCTGTCTTCTGTGACTGCCCAGAGCTGAGACTTGACCAGAGCAGGTGCTTTTGATCACCAAGGGGTGGACACCGAGGCAGAAATGGGCCCTGCCCCCTCCTCAGAACTGCTGAGTCTCCTTGACTCCTACCCTGGCCTCGCTTCCCTGTATCCCCAGACCCTGCTGCTGGGGCCAGGCTGGAAGGGCTGTGGATGTGAGCCAGGCCTCAGAGCTGCTCCCTTGGCTACAAAGCTCAGGCTGGGGACAGTGTGGGCTAGGGTAGAAAGGAGTAGAAAGGTGTCACCTCTGCATTTTCTTCAGAACTGGTTCTCAGGACTCTGCTAGTCACCACCTGCCATGTTTTTCCTTTGGACAAAACCCTTGACTTCTCACGTGGCTTAGGAGACACAGTGAAGTCCGAGGCACACTGCCCTTCCCTCAGCCAGCCTGTCCCAGGCCAGGGCATGGCCTTGTTGTCCTGAGGCCATCCAAAAGCACAGGGTGCCTGCCACACACCACTGCTGGGGAAATCAGCATCTCACCCCGTCCCTGCCAAGTCCCTCCCAGCTACTGCCCCTCAGCTTGACCAGAGCCTTTCTGTGCAGCACAGTGGACACCCAGCTTTTCCCTCGAGGCTGCTGAGAGACAGGGCGGGAATGGGGCAGAATGGGACATCACCTCACGTGGTTGGCAGCTGCCCAAGGGCCTAGGGGTGCTGGGCATGGGGGCTGAGTGTCCCCAGGACTGGCCCTTATCAACAGCCTGCCTCCCACCAGGTGGTATACTACTCAGAAATGCACAAGATCTTCGGCGATCTGACCCAGCAGCTGGACCAGCCGGGCCACTCAGATGAGCAGCGGGAACAGGAGAACGAGGCCAAGCTGAGTGAGCTCCGAGCCCTCTCCATCGTGGCAGATGACTGAACTCAGGCCCCCAGACTCCTGAGACATAGAACCTCTGCCCTTAGCAGGTGCTGGCAGGCTGGAACCCATGGTGGTGGTCCTGCTCTACCCTGGCAGCCCTTTGACCTGAGTGCCTTAAGTACCTGGATCCTGACAGAAGGCTCCAGCAGGCTCTCGCCCACCCCACAGCCCCAAGTGTAGGTAAGCGGTATAGAAAATCCCCAGGGGCTTCCTCACTTCTAGAACCGTCCAGAGTATACCCTGGCCCGAGCAGCGCAGGCCTCAGCCTGCACAGCGGGGGCTGTATCTACCTCCAGGGGACCTGTGGCAGGGATTGGCCCCCTCACTGCTCTTTACCCCAAAGGCATGGTTGGCTCTTCAGGTGCAGGCGTCAGGGACAAGCCCCACCTCTTTGGGGCTCCTGCAACTGTAACTATCCTGCCACACAGAATATTACATCAGTCCTCATGCCTGAGCCAGCACTATGGGTTTTTGTCACACTGGGATATGTATTTGGAATTTTATTTTTTCAAGTAAAGTTTCCTATAAAACATTACCTAATGTGGTGCTGTACCGTCCAGAACAGGAAGCGCTGTCACTTCTCCAGGTCCTGCGCCTCAGCAGAGGACCGAGCCAGGTTCCTATAGGCTGCTGTGGGCAGTGGCCCAGGGTCTCAAGGCGCACACTTCCGCGCTGCCCTCCTCCCATAGCAGGCTGCATGTGACCAGTAGAGCCTCAGGCTGCAGCTAGCATGCAACAGTGGAAGGAGCTACGCACATGGTTTGTTTTTGACTTTGGTTTATTTAAAAAACAAAAAGCCAAAAAAAAAAAAAAAAAAAAAATTTATATACAAAGTCAAACTGAAACCATGGATTATGGAAAGAGGCGGGAATTATGGGTAACAGGGAAAGGCTGGGCCAAAGCCAATGCCACATTCTGAACACAGGGTGGGGAGGGTGCTGGCTTCTCCTGGCGAGTCTACTAAGGTGGCTGGAACACAGTGTTCTACTGACGACTGCAGCCCACACCGAGGGCCTCCTCCTAGCACAGGCTCCATTCCGCAATGGCCATAGGGCGCCCCAGGAACTGCTCCTGGAGCCTACAGGGTTTGTGCCGTCCAGAGAAAGGGGTTTCTCGGCCCCCGCCAGACTCCATGTCTGTCCCTTCATCAGACCTTGTCATGGGCTTGAAAAGCCTTTCCTCCCGTCGTACTCAAAACTGGAAGAGGACAGGAGACAGCACAAGACTACAAGGGCCCTGGGAGAAATTCCAAGGTGAGGGCAAAATGGCATTCTAGGGGTGCAAAAGATGTTGTTTAGTTGTAGCTGAAACTGGGGTTCTTCACACATCATCCACATAGCACAGACCCCACCCTGATGGCTTGGTATCCCCTGCACAGACTGTGCATAGGGCTCAGCCACCCCTGCCTGTGGCTCCCAGGCCCTGCTCCAGCTGCTTTCTGGTACCAAAAGGGCTCTAACATCTTCGGGCTCCATCGCTGACCTTCAATGGCACTCCAGCAAGGCCCCTCAGTTGCTAGGCGCTGGCTCCTCCTTGTCTACCCAACTGTCAGCCTGTGCAAGCAGACAGGACAAGGTTACAAGGGTGACCATCAGAGAGAGCTGCCTCCTGCCAGCTTCCCTAAAAACCAGTGGCTGAGGACAGAGAACAGAAAGGCCCAGGCAGGAGAAGAAAGGGTCTTGAGCGCTGGCTGTCACCCCAAGGCAACTCCCTGGCAGTAGCAAGTTCTCCCCAAAAGGGGTTAGAGCTGCCCCTCGCGCTGTCACCCCTCACCTTCTCCACCATGCGCTGCACCTCAAGCTGCAGCGGACCCAGACGCCTGCGGAACTCCTGCAGCAGCCGCTGCAGCTGGCCCTTCTGCCGCTCGGCCACCCGGGCTGCATCCTCGGCCTCTGTCAGCCGCGCCCGCAGCTCTTGCATCTCTGCAGCCAATGTCTTGTTTGTCACTTCAGTGGCTGAGAAACGGTTATGGCTCTCCTCTATGCGGGGAGAGACACACCAGAAAATTCAGTTAAGGATTCGAGGGCAGACAAGGGCCTGGCCCTGCCCAGCAGTGCTCCTACCTCACCCAGACACACTACACTCTGTCCCATGCTCAGCACCCCGCAGCCTCAGCCACTCACCTAGCTTCAGTTCCAGTGTGTGAATCTTGTTCTCCAGGTAGAGCCGCCCACTGTCCTGCTGCTCCGCACGCTGCAGCAGGCTCCCCACGTTGATCAGGCTGCCGTTATGGGGCACCAGGCCTTTGTGCTCCGTGGGAGCAGCTCCTGGCTTTGTGCTCTTCCCAGAAGGAGGCAGCAGGTCCAGATTTCCTAGAAGCGCCGTGAACGAACGTCAGCAGCTGTCTCCAGGAGAAAGCAGCCCCCAGCCCCATGGCCGAGCTGTACAGGCAGACATACCAAAGAGCACCTCCTCTGGAAGCCCGCTGTCCACTGTCTCTGGGCGGCTGTACTGTAAGCTCCGATACTGGCAAATGTTCTGCGTCACCACCCTGCTAACCAGCTGCTTGGCCTACAGAAAACACAGCCGCCACCTGCTGGTCAGAAGGAGCAAAGCCTGGCTGGGAAGGGCCAGGCCTGTGGACTCTGGGAAGACAGGGCAAGAGGGGAGCTACCTGCTCTGCACTGAGCCGAATGCCCAGTGTGAGAAGGACCCTCTCCAAGTCCCGCCGGTGCAAGTAGCCACACCAGTTGGCATCAAAGAACACAAAAGCCAGAAGACAGTCCAAGGGGAGCACAGCAGAGGGGTCCAGCTCCTTGGGCTGCGAAGGAAACAACTTTATGTAACTCAGCAGCTACACGGTGCAGGACATGGCCCCTGTACAGCAAGCAGCCCAGCCACCAGTATTTAGGAGACCCCAAGGCTGGAGGCCCAGGTGGGGCACAGGCCTCTGGGAAAGCCTTCTCACAAGCTCCAGTGTTTGACCCACCCCTTGGAAAGTAAAGTATTTTCTACAAGCCAAGAACTACCCATCGGCGGAAGAAGTCTCTGCTAGGCACCCTGCTCCCACAGAGGACATCTCACCATGTCCTGGAGTGAGGAGAATTCCATTTCCGACTGGTTTGAAGCAACAGACCGGACCTCTGAGTCCTCCAGCTTTGCTCCTGCTACAGAAGGCCTGAGCTAAACGTGGAGTGGGGCCTCAGGGACCCATCCTGGCTCCGCAGCCCCCAGAGAAAACCAGGACAGACAGACCCAGACAGCCTCCCAAGACCGGCAGCCCCTCACCCTGGACATACCAAACTCTTCCTCGCCATCATCCCTCAGAAGCAGCAGCTCCGGGTCCAGGGCCATCTCACACAACTCCTCGGCTGCCTCACCCCGGGGCTTCTCCTCCTCCTCACTGCCGGAAGAGGGCGGTTTGGGCAAAAGCCCATCCTCTTTCTAAGGAAGCAGAGCAAGGTGATGAGGGGAAGGAATGGGGCCCCCAGCATACGAACAATAATGGCCAACACCTGAGGACCACTGTGTGCCAGGCACTGGGCTAGGGGCTTGGTGGGCTGATTTAAGCACATGAGGGTCAGCACACACCACAGGTACTTGGAGATATCTGGGCCTTAGGAGGCAATCTCAGGCCCATAAGAAACTATCTCCTTAAAAGTATCAGGATGAAGAGAAGATTCATGCCTTCAAAATAGCTAAACAATTTGTCTAACCACCAGGCAGTCCAAACACCGTTCCTCTTCCCAGCATTCTTATTGACAGGGATGTCTTTGCTTCGGTAGCTTGGCAGCCATGCCTCCATCCCCTCTGTGCCCCTCCCCTTTGCCCTCAGTGTGCCACTTCTGAGGCGCATGGCCACATGCAGGAGATTTACCACCCAGGCGTCAGTCACACCAAGTTTGGAAGAAGTGAGCTGGGAGGCAGGGAGTGGAAGATGGGACGCTGAGTGTGCATGGGACAGTGCCTGGCACCAGCAGGGACTCAAGAGGGTGTTAGGCACTGTTGGGCAGTCTGCAGGCCAGTGCAAGCTGCCGGGTACTCACCAGTGGGGGGTCTGACTCAGCAGCTGTGCCCTCATTCTGTACCTCATCCCTGGACTCCTTGACCACCTGCTCTTTGACAGCTTCCTCCTCTTTAGCAGCCCCCTCCTTGGCCGCCTCTTCCTTCTCAGGTTCAGGGGGAGAAACAGCCTTTTCAGGCAGGCTCAGCAGCATCTTATAAATCCTATAGCCGAAATCCCTCTGCAGCATCTCCAGAAAGAGCTCTGCTAACACCATCACCTGTTGGAACAGGCAGCGAGGCCCATGAGCGTCCCTGCAGAGGAAGCGGACCGCACTCCACATCCCATCCCCAGCCTCCTCAAGACTCCTCCACCTGCCTCAAAAGAGATCCTTTCTTTTGGCCTCCGATCCTCTACAATCACATAGAGGGACAGGTTGACACAACTGGGACGCGCCATGACAGCAGGCTCTAGGGGCGGTGGGGGGGCCTCTGGGAGGTCAGTGTCTGTTTCCTGCTGCACAGTGGCCTCAGGAGTCTCAGCATCCTGTTTAGAAGGATCTGCTGCTTGCTCTGTCGATGCATCAGGGGTCTGCTCAGTAGGCTCCGCTTCCTGTGACAAGAGCCAAGATGTGACCCTCTGCTGTGGCAGAACACTGCTTCCTGGGGTCCTCTTAAGGCTCAGCTTACCCCTGGTGCCTCCTGCGGTGGCGGAGCTGCCTCTGCAGCCTTCTGCTGGCACAGGGCATCCCACTCCTCCAGAGTGGGCATGATGGTCCAAATGTCCGGCAGGTACACCACCACGGTGTGCAGCCGCCGGGGCGGACCTGGGTGCAGGTACTGAAACTCTGCAAAGCGCCACCTGTTCACGGTAAAGAGAAAAAGGAAGCTGTCGGCTTCATTCATGCAGACTGCACGCTCAAGAGATAAGTGCGTCCCTTCCAGCCGGGGCCAAGGGAGCACACTGCATGCCACGTGTGAAAAGTGCAAACGGGTGCAAAGTCCCCCAGAAACCACCAGGCAGCACGAGGTGCAGAAGCAGGCAGCTCAGGCACACTGCTGCAGCAACCTCACGCAGCACCTGAGCCCCGCCATGCTCAGGACCCAGCGCCAGGCTGCACGGGCACACGAGAGTGGGCAGGCAGAGGGTGTCAGCCAGGCCTTGGAAGACACAGCCGTAGTGAGCTGGCCATACACAGGGTCACCACTCACCACTTGGTGCAGGTGCTCAAGTCAATGCCAGTCTGGGCTTGCGCACAGCGGATGGCCGTGCGTACCAGCACCTGAGGGTCAGCCTGGGGGTCAAGGCCATCCAGGGAGGGAGACCACTCCCCCCCGACCAGCACCGCCTCGTCTTCTTTCCGGCCCAGCAAAAACTGCAAAGATATTGAGAATGAAAGAAATCTGCACTGCCTGCAGTCATTATGAGACAGGGGAGAGTAACAGGAAGCAGTAAGACCACACCAGGGCCCGCTCTCCATCACACAAGCTAGCCACGGAACTCCTACATAGGCAATCTATGCATTTGTAAGCAGGGCCAAACTGCTGAAAACAACAGGCACCAGCCTGCCACACGCAGCTCTTACCTTTATCTGCTTCAAAGGATGCTCTGGCGTCTCCCTGGGCTCAGCCATGTCATCCACAAAGAGCATGCAGCAGCGATACAGTTCCTCCAGGCCAGGGGAGGACAGCAGCAGGACCTGCACAGAAGGCAAGAGACACTCAGAGCCACCTCCCACCTATGGCTCAGCGACAGAGCAACTGGCGCCCCTGCAACTGACCTTGGAACTGTAAGTGGGGTCACTGTCCGCAGGGCTGGGCTCAGCAGCAGGGTCTGGAGCCACCTCCTTCTCTGAAGAGACCTGAATCCGGCTGGGATGGTGGAGGGAGAAGGGCTGGCTCAGGGGGAAGGCCGCCAGCCAGCTCAGATGCACGGACAGAAAATCCGAGGGGACCAGCAGGCTGCGGTAGCGGCGCTGCAGTTCTAGGAAGTCACAGGTAGGGCTGGAGGAAGACAGCAGAGGGATCCACACTGAATAAAGCATTAAGAACTAAAACCAAAGGCAGGTGTAATACACATGCCTGGGACAGTCCCAGCTATAAGTGAGGCTAAGGCAGGTGGATTCAACTGCAAGGATAACCTAGGCAGTATAGCAAAACCCTGTCTTAAAATACAATGTCGCAAACAGCCAGGGCTGTAGCTCAGTGACAGAGAGCTTGCCTAGCATGTGCAAGGCCCTGGATTCGATTCCCAGTAGCACCAGGGAAAAAAATACTGTAAAGAACTACATGAGAATAAACCATTTAATTTTCAATTTGGGAAATAAGAACTTCCTAAATAAGATGCCTTGCAGAGGTAACCCTGGATCTGGCACTGATGTACAACCTCCTTAGGACAAAGAAAGACAAACTAGGAAAGGAATGAAACCCCTGCATTATATGACAGAGAAATGGTCATTTCTTACTGTAGCAGAATTCGCAAGCAGTAAGAAAAAGTACAGGCACCTCACAGCAAACTGGGAATATTGACATCAACAGGAATATAACAGAAAAAGACTTAAAAAGCTCATGAAACGTGTAAAGATGTGGCCAGGTGTGGTGGCATACATCTACAGTACCAGCACTTGAGGCTGAGGCAGAAGGACTGCCATGCATTCAAGGCTCCAAACTAAGCTCAAATCCAGCCTGAACTATACAGTGATATCCTGTATCAAAACAAAAAAAATTAAAACTTAAAGGCTGGGGGCTAAGGAGATAGCTCAGTGGAATAAGTTCTTGCCTGGCAAGCACACGGTCCTGAGTTCAATTCCCAGTACCACCACAAAGAAAAAAAAACAACCCAGGCTGGGCAAAGGCTAGACCTGTAATGCCAGCACTTGGGAGGCTAAAGCACAAGGATCACTGCAAGTTCAAGGTCTCCTTGGGTTACAGAATGAGTTCAGGCCAGTTGAACTACACAGTGAGACCCTGACTCCAAAACATAAAAATAAATAAAGATACAAATCGGAATATCAGTGTTCACCAGTTAGGCTGCAAAGATAAAACAGCTAGATCAGACTGGAGGCCAAGCCTGGGGAAACGAGCTCTCCAGGCCCTTTCAGACCCTAGCAGAAGATAGCAGTTTAAGATGAAACCACACCAGCTACTCCATTACGGTAAGACACTTGCGCACCTGTGCACCTAGATGTATGCAGAAGGATGTTTATGACAGCATTTTGAATAAATCACCTGGAAGCGGAGAGCTGCTTAAACAAATTACAATGGAAAAGTGCAGCTGTTCACAAAGACTAATAAATGTTAATAGAGAGTAAATTCTAAGAGAAAGTAACCACACGGGGCTGGGGAGATAGCTCAGTGGTCTAAGCACCTGGCTGGCAAGCACAAGGACCTGGGTTCAATCCCCTGTGTTCAATCCCCTGTGCTGGCCCCTGAAACCTGGCATGGTGGCACATGCTTGTCCCAGCCCTGAGGAGGCTGAGATACCACTATGAGTCTGAGCTGCATAGCAAGACCCTATACCAAATAAAAATTTTTTTAAAAAATTAAAAAATAATAACCAAACAGGATGCACAATAGGTTTCTGTTCGTTGGCTCTAAAAGCTGTCAGAACACACACACGTTTGCACGGACCCAGAGTCCAGCGGCCCCCTCGGCCTGTGGCGCACCTGTCCACTGTGTAGGGCGTGAGATGGACCCGGTAGGGAGGCAGGTCATGCCTTGGCTTCTTAGCACCCCAAGGCTCTCCACCAGCCCGCTGCTTGCGTTTCTTGGCGTCATAGTCGTCACTGGAGTTGAACCATCACCGGAAGAAGGAAACGTACTGTCACACACGCATTCAATAAAATGGGCCTAAAAGAAAGAGCTGGAAACAATCTGAATCCCCGACAAGAAAAGCTGAGGAGCCAGGCCTGGTGGCACATACCTGTGAGCCTAGCACTCAGGAGGCCTGAGCTCCCAGCCTGGCCACAGCCTGAACTGCGCACCAGGTGGGGGGAGGGGAGCGTGGGGGGAGGAAGCTGACAGCCACATAACAAAATGCTACAATGACATTAAAACGGACATTTTCTAAACATGGATATTTAAACCTTACTACCGTAGAAAAATCTGTATGTTACGCAAAAAGCATGATATATACAGCACGTTCACCTCTGACCCCCAAAAGCTCTAGCACTAAAGAAAATATTAAAATATGGTGGTCTCCTTTGGCTGATAAGATTGTGTGTAATCTTCCCTCCCTCATATTTTCTGAACATTACAAATTATAGTTAACTAACATGCAACTTTTTTTGGTGCCAGGAATGGAACTATATCCCCAGCCCAACAAGTAATTTTTGCAATAAAAACAGAACTGAATTTTTTTTAACAATGGATGCATATATGGTAGCTTGTACAGGTTCTAGAAAATAAATCTGTCATCAAGAGACAGTTTGTGGGGCTGGGGAGATGGCTCAGTGGAATAAGTGCTTCCCCTGGCAAGCGCAAGGGCCTGAGTTCAATCCCCAGTTCTGCCAAAAAAAAAAAAAAAAAGACAGTTTATGCTAATAAACCCCACCAGTACATAAAAATACTAAAACTTTTTGCTCCAGTAATTTTACTCTTGAAAATGTCTCAGGGGAGTTAATTCAAAACAAGAGAAAAAGATTATATATATAGCAAGCAAAATAAACTGAGAGTATACATACATATCCAGCAACACTTGAATTTTTATAGAATGTAAACACAATAACCCCACAACCATTAAACAGCATGCAGATTATGCTACAATATAGAAAAAGTGCTAAAGAATCACAGACATTAAAAAAAAAAAATCACAAACATAATCTGCCCTCTCATATTAAAAATTGTATAGATAAAAACTAGGCAAGCAGGCACAGGGGCTGGGGGTTCAATCCCCGGGCCTGCCGTGTCAGCCTTGCCCCGGGGCACGCTGAGACAGCCATAGAGATTGGGCATGGTGGTGCGAGCCTGTAATCCCAGCTCTTGGGAGGCTGGGAACAGGTGCAGCAGAGTCCGATCTAGTAGTGAGACCCTGAACACCCTGTAGACCCTTCCCTAAAAATACTAAATAAATAAATAAAATAAACTAGAAAAGCTCGCAAGAGAAAAAAGTGGCAGTGATTTTCCTTTTCAAAATTGTTTTCTAGGGCCAGGGAGATAGTTGAGTAGAATAAGCACTTGCCTGGCAAGCGCAAGGGCCTGAGTTTAATCCCAGGTTCCGCAAAAAAGGTTTTCTAAAGTTCTTTAATATCTTAGTGTTAATATCATTATTAATGGGAAGGAGATAAGAACTATAGCTTTTAATATTACTTAAATATAATTACACTAAATGTGCTACTCTATTTTTGTAATCACTCATACTATTTATTACGCTGTGTCTTTATACATTTCATTAATCACATAGTAAGGGGGGGTACAATAAAATAGTAGAGGAAAAATCTTTACACTCTTCATTATAAAATGCCAGACGGGCGCACAGCTGTGGCAGGATGCTTGCCCTCTCTCACCTGGCCCTGGGCACCACAACATGGGTAAGGGATAAATGCCTGTCTGGCAACTCTGGACACCCAGGAGCTGAGCGGACTCCACAGTCCACACGCTGGTAACTCAGCTGGTGAAGTTTTGTACTGCCCTGTTCCTGGGCATCTCCGTCTCCCATCTCTCGCCTTCTGGGGACGCATGCTCCTGGGATCCTAAAGGCAAAGCCTTTCCAACCTGTCCCAGCAGCCCTCTCCAGTCATCAGGACTTGGTGAGCCCTGCCATGACTGCTCTGCTCTTCTAGCTAAACCGCGTGCCCACTGGTCCTGTGGACTCAGCAGCCGGCCTCTGCCCTCACTAGAATGATCTGGAGCAGGTCCCCAGGAGGGCTGGTGGGACATGTCGGCAGCTATGGCAGAGGCCAGCCAGTCTGCAGCCCTCTGCTGCTCAGCTCACACAGGCCAAAGGGGACATCAGGTGTCCCACAGGCAGTGACTTAACATCAGTGCTCCACACAAAACAAGCCTGGCCAAGCCCTTCACAAACTCATGTCGTTCCTCCAGCATCACCTAACTCCCACCAGCCCGCTTCCTTCTCTCATGCTTGCTCCTGACTGGTGGTCCTGTCTCTCTCCCTCCATCCTTTCTCCAGCAGCTCTGCCATGGAAGCAGCTGACCAAAGTTGGGAACATCACAGGAGGTGGCACACACAGGATGCCCCAGCACAACTGATCACAGAAAGCTTACCTGGGAACCAAACACACTGAGTTTCCAGTGGTCACTGACTTCCAACCTGGCCACACTAACCCCTGCTGTGACGCTCAAAGGAAGGCTTTCCTTGGCTCACAGAAAGACTGGTGGGAAGGTCTTTGGAAATGAAGACTGGAAGATGCACAGGACAGCTGCGGTGTATTTTGTGGCTGGAGAGCAGGCTGGAGGGTGTCAGTGACGCAGGCAGCATGGAGTGCAACCCGGGACAAAGCTGCCTCCCACTTCAAATCCACAGTAACCTAGCCGAGGCAGCAGGACCTCGCTTCTGCACAGGCACCGGCTGTCTCACTCTGCCTCCACCTCTCTGAGCTACACGTGCCCTTCTCAGGGTGTTGACACTGGGCTGCGCCGTCTGCTTTCCCATGTGATCATCCACTGGCATCTTCAAGAGGATGCCTTCCCTTCCTGCACGTCTCGCATTTCCAAAGAGAACTAGACGAGGGAACTTTCTAGAGAGAGGATTACATGGGATTTTTCCCATTTACCAAAAATGGCAAAGTAAGATTTGCACTTTTCACTATACACACTTCACCTTAAAAAAATAAATCAAGTAGGAGGCAGTGAGTAGACGGAAGAAGAGGTGACAAAAGGAGCAGATGATGACAGGTGCTGAAGCTGGAGAAAGACAGAAGAGGGGTAGTGTAGCTTCCCATTTGTTTTGCATACATTGATGTTTCTCATTATAAAAAGTTCAGCAAGCCAGACACAGCGGCACACGCCTGTGACCCCAGCTGCTCATGCACCTGAAGCCAGAGGCTGCAAGTTGAGGCTTGCCTGGACAACTTAGCAAGACCCTGTCTCGAAATAAAAAGTAAAAATGAGAGCTCAGTGGTAAAGCACCTATAGCTCACAAAATAATGATAAGCAAAACTTCCAGGAGGCTAAGACAGGACAAGGGATATGAGACATGAGCTAGTGACACACAGCACACGGGGCAGTCACCAAGGCCCACAGATGACAGAGAATTGCTAGCATCTCCCGAAGACTGAAACCAACCATGCTTGCTGCCAACACGTTGTAGTGTGGCAGTAAGTGCCTATATACAAAGAATCATTTTAAAGTAGAAATTTGAAACAGACTGCAATGTTACTTTTTTTGACATGTTACTATTTTCTTAAAACATTTCTTGCTCTTTGATCTTAGGAACTAGAACCTAAAGGGAAATTATGTATCTGAAAAGTATCTAATATGCCTCTCAGCGAGCTGATGCATAGCAAATCCCTATTTTCCAGCCAGTACATAAAGATCTGAGATTTGCATATATGTGGCTGTGTCTGCCTGTTTCATAAGGAGCCTGGGATCCAGCTGCAGGAATAGAATGTCAGTTATCAACAGGTGGCCAAAAAAGGGGACACTGCACCAGAAGGAGACAAAACAAAACATCTGTCCTGCCTGATCTTCTCCTTACCTTCGACCCTGATCCAGCCGTCCGTGAGGGCCCCGAGCAGGAAATCTGTTCAGGTGGCTCAGGTGAAGTGTGTGGGATGTTTGGAAGAGACTCAGAGCTACAGAGAAGAAATGGCCGTGCCTCAAATCCCTGAAAACCAGCCTTCCCCTCCCGCCCTTCCAGCACGCAGAACCCACTTCTACGCGGGGAGCGACAGTCTGAAAGTTACAAGTCACTCATCTAAAGCACTCCCTACAGCCACCCCCAACATCCATCCACACCACTGGTACTCACGCTTCTGAGGAAAGAGGGGGGGGATCCGGTGAGGTTGGAAGATTAACTGGGGCTGAGCTCCCAGGATCCCTTGCTTCTGGCCCAGAGCTGCCACGTGCAGAAGGGGAGGTGCTGGGGACTTCAGTAGGGGCTGCGGGACAGTTGCCAGGAAATTCCAAAGTTGGCGCATTTAATACCTTGGAAAGATGCAGTCCCACCCCCTGACAAAAATAAGGTTCTTGCCCAGGTCTCAGGGCACAGGGGCTTGCCTCCCTCTCCCCACACCAGGGCACGTGGACGGCCAGATGAGTACCTGGTTAGAGAGCGTTTGCACCTTGACAGCATTCCAGGGCACAGCCTGGCCTGGGTTGTATGCAGCCTTCACCAGCACCTTCTCACCCAGCTGGGGTAGCCGGCCCTTCACCACACTGCGAGTGCAGGAGCAGTAGACCCCATCAGGCGGAGGACCCTGGTCAAGCTGCCCTGCCTAGCCCATGGGGCCCTCCCCACTAAGATTCCTCACGCATTGCATAAAAACAGCAAAGTAATGGCTCGAGAGAAG